GAAAGCAGCCACGCCCTCAGACCTCAGCTATAAATAAGCCTAGTTTCCCATAAAAACCAGTATTATGAATGAGAGTACAATGCATGCTTTTAGGCAATATGACTGAAGATGCACAAATATTGAAATTCAAAAATACACAATATAAAGAAGTTATTTTTCAGATGGCACTAGCCTGTATCAAAACCCATCATGTTGCCATACAGAAACGGACTTGGAATTATCCTCCCTGATGATCAATTCTCCAGCAACATGCGTTTAGTCCTTTTCTTATTAGTAAATATGTCGAAAAATGTCTTTAGCTTTTTCCTAAGCTTAGGATCACGCCTTTGTCAACCGATCGTAACACTTCGTTTCATGACATAAAAGACTACCAATCCGTCTTTTCGAGGCTCAAACGAAATGGAGGTTAGGCAGGCCATTGAAACGTCTTTCGCAGTCCTCCTATCAACCAACATTTTCTCCTCGAGGTAGATACATGAAGTCAGTCCACCCCAAGAAACGGGGTTTGTAATATTTTGGCAGTTCGGCCGTCATGTCCACCGTGCGCTCCACAGCAGGATGAGATCAGGGATGGTGACTTGCGCGTGAATAAGTAGGAGTAGACTTGCGCTGCATCTATCGCACTCTTCTCCCCCGCCTGGGCCTCGTGCCAAGACCTGCACCTAAGCGTGCCACCACAGCCTCTGGTCTTCAACAAACACCTGACCAGATTTTTAAACAACAGCAACAGCAGCAGCACAGCAACGATTCAGAAAGAAGGCGATAATGTTCAAGCAAAAATTACCAAGATAAATTTTGTTTGGACGTAGGAGGATGTAACCCCCTACTACAGATGCCCTAACGCCAAATCTCCGGCGACAACTACTCACGTATCCTGAACCTAACCCCACCTATGACCCTAACCCCAATCCTAGCCCTAGCCCTAACTCCAACCTATTTCAGTTTCCTACCGAGAGTTTGTCTTGTACTATTAATTATAATTAATCTCAGGAACTGTACCTGGACACCGATAAAGCAAAAACTTAACATACGACAGTTCAACCGTTCGTTCGACGGTGTCCACCGTGTGCTACAGAGTAAGATGCTGCAGACACGGTGACTTGCGCGTGAATGAGCTTGTTGTGATGGCAGACTTTCGCAGCATCTACCGCACTCTGTCTGCCCCACTTCCCACCTGGACTCGGTGTCATGAAAGTGTCAGGAAAGCCGGGGGCGAGGGAGGGCGCAGGTGGCTGGCACGGCCGGACCTGCCCCTAGGCGTGCCACCACATCCCTGGTCCACAACATACACCTGACCTTCCTAATTCTTTTATGGTGTTTGTTCCATTTGCGCAAGACCGTTTATGTGAGGCTCACCACCACCACCACCACCACCACCACCACCACCACCACCACCACCACCGCCCCAGCAGGAGTCAGAAGGACGAGGATGATGACTGGGAAGCCATGCCTACCACCAGCGGGAGCGTGGACGCCTCTACCGGCAGGGAGCCTGGTGCCAGAAAACCGCCGACGCACACCAGGCGGCGAGATCCACGGTTTGCTGAATAGTGGCATAGCAGACGCTCACAAACCTTAAGGTGTATTACCTTACGGTTCCAATAAATACTGGCGAAAAAACTACTCCCTTTAAACAGCTACTTAATGTACAAGAGTGTCCTCACTATAAGAGTGCCTCCATTTTGAAAAGAAACTATATTAACTTCTTTGGGTAAATTTTCGGCAGACGGAAATGGCGTTCGCCGACCGGAGTACGGAACATACTCATCCCCCTTCGCCTGGGGGTTGAATCTGGAGCCTTTGCAATCAGTAAGGAGGCCCAGTAGTGAAGTGTTTGATTGAAAACCCAATACCCAGGAAATTCGAATTCAAATCCAAGTCACCTAAACCCGGTGTCGGGTGTGGCTGCCTGACGGCGACTAACAAGCCAGAAACAGTCATTTCACTTTCTCTTGTATTTATCTGTACTCCTTCTTACACTTCGGGGTTGTATGTATATGCAAAGTGAGTTAGTCTACCTGCTGAAATTGCGAAAAGATAGGTTATTAACTTCAATCGCCACAGGTAGACAGGCAGATCGGACTTTCGTCAGCTGGACCAACAAAAATCTGAACCCACACAGGAAACTGCCATTCAAGGAGGTCAGTGTCTGCCTACAGCTGTCGCCCATCAACAGTGGAAGCTATATTTTAGGGATCCGCATTACACAGGTGTCCATATAAGTGCTTTATCCACTTCAGGAGAGTACAAGTGAGAGCTTCTGGGCACCATCGACACACTGTGGTCTGATATGCTCCAACCAAGCTACTTAGGCGTTTAGAAGAACCGTTAGAAGAAACGGCCTCCTCAGGGAGGGGCAGCTGCCATGATGCTGATGAAGTTCGGTTGTATTTGTCCATACGTGATATACTACGTTGGAAGAGAGGCAGCCCATGAAGTTCTTTGCGAAGCGAACAAACTTTTTTTCACGACTACTGTTGACTCTGTCAGTCGTCAGGCGTTTAGAAAATATGTAAGACGGTTGACTTCTCAAACGCGCACTTTGGATGCTTTTGCGCCGTTTAGATTTACTGCCGCTGATATTTCATGGACACATATGCATGCTAAATATGTCTCCCTTTTGGAGGACTTCCTTTAACTACCCAACTGTATTCATTTGTATATCTGCCCTCATAACTGTCGAGTGCCTTACCGAGGACTCTCCTAAATACCACCATTTCGTATGACTTGAAGCAAATATCCATATCCGTCGGCTTTATCTGAAACAGGCGCTCAACAGGTGAAACTTTAATCTTTTCTTGTGACTGCTGGCCGTTCGCTGAAAGAGAGAGGTCGCAGTTGCGAGAATCAAGATAGAAGTCAGGCAGTGGTATAACCAGAATATCGTTACCAACCAAGACAAGGGAAACTGGAATGGCCATTTCTGGCTTATTAGCTGTCATCAGCCAATCATACCCAACCCCAAAGTGTGGAACACCTGAGGCTCGAACTCGCGACCTGTTAGTTAGAAGTCCACGCCTCTAATCACCGAGCCACGAGCCCGTTTCCCTGTCGGTTTTCGATTAGGAATATACAATGGTAGAGGGCGCTCACCGATCGTTCTTACGGAACTCACTCGTTCCGTTGTGTCTTACGGGCTCTCTCTCAAGCCCAACCAGCAACCGCACAACGGTTCATGATATAGGCAGTATGCTATTACCGAAAAAGACAAAAAGTTCGGTTCTTTAGTGTTGGTGGCTCATCGGTTAATTGTGCTTCGTGCACCATTTGGACAGTGCGAAGCTGAGTGCTTGCAGCTCTGGGTGCGACCCGAGAGCTAGCTTGCTCAAAGGCATGAAAAGGTCAGAAGTGGGTGACATCTCGGTTTCCCACGCAGTTGTCGCATCGCCTCTGCAACTTTACACTGAATAGTTGGTCGCCCATTCGCCATCTCTGCCATCCCACTCGGAACGTACTGTTGGCAGTAATGGCGGCTTTCACTTGTGACTTGACGCAGACTAAAAGAGAGACCTCATTCGCACTGGTTCAGTCGCGCTCTGCAGCTCCACGCGTCCATTGTGTCCTTGTCTAAATCCGATCTATCATTGCGTAAGCTTCAGCTGCAGAGTCAATCCAAAGTTGGTGTACAAGGCTCAACTGTTCCTCATCTTTGTCAGCATAACCAGCTATCAAATACACAGGCTCCGTCTTGTCTAGACATCGAATAAAATAAACTTTGTCGTAAACACAACCAGTGGGTCTGCAAGTATGACGCGGACCGCTGCCTGTGTAAAAGTGAAATCCCGAGAATTCATTGTTTAGGTAAATGGTTTCAAGAGATTTTTTTTGGGGGGGGGGAGGTAGAACTTGATATCTTCTTAGACAGTCGGCTGGGAGGACTGAATACGGCAAAAATTGATGGACATCGCAAGGACACCCCGAAGGTCAACAGAGTCCACCGTCGTCAATAATTTAACGACAATTTTACGAGCGGAATGCTCTCTTCATGCACACAAAGTGGTATGCTTACGATTGCGTCTGTTAATTCCATTCCCTTTTCATAGTCACTGACTGAATAAACTGACCGCCCTCCCCTCACGCGGCCTTATGAAAATTTCTATTCCAGAGGAAGAGGATGCAATCACTGGAACGGGAAGTTTACTGGATTGACGTTTCGGATTCTCACGCGAAGCTATCATCAGAGACGCTCGCAGAAAAAGTTCTGAACTGCTTCCTGAAACTCGCCTACACGCTTTTATCGGGTTTTATTTCTGTTATGTTCTTGCAAGCGAAATTAAGCAAATTCCCCTTTGTTTTAGTCCATCGCATTTTGAGCAATGTAAGATTAGAACAATTGCGTCAAACTCTCGTAAAAACATTTTGAACCACACAAACAAGAATTCCGCGCTTGACTATTTGCCAGATTTTACGTTACACTAATTCCTATGAGGATTTTGAGCACAAAATATATAAGAGCGCCCACTGTCATAATATAAGAGACTATTTAAAATGTTGCAACGCTCCTGAAATTTTACTTACTCAGTCACTTTCCAGGACAGCCTTTGTATGATTTTGCAAATCGAATTCGCTTGTTTTACATGAAGTTTCCTGTTTCACAGCATTTCCGGTTTTATCAAAAAACTGCTATTTCTAATCACTGTAATATTACGTCCGATATTTATTTTTGCTTTAGTTTGGTGGAACATCGTTCATTGTTACTGCGAGTTTCGGTCGATGAATTATGCCCTTTGCGATTGACTGGGTATTATTCGCACATTGACGCGCATTTCGTGAGCTGTCACCCACTGTAATCACGAAATCACTGAAATGCAACATGGCTTCGTACGTCCGGCCGGCCGGCCAACACTACAAAATCACGCGCTTGTTTCGGCTTAAACCACAGGCCACTGGCCATTGGTCAAAATTCTTATCGTGTGTCCTTGACGCACGAATCGGCGGCCTTGACTTGTTAGATTGTGCGTCGACGGAGACATGTTTGCGGGCGGTGCTGTGAAGTCCGCATGACTCCACTCGTGGAGCTCTTCCTAAAGGCCTCCTCTGCTGATGCCGGCGACAGGGGCTCCTGTCCGCTGTCACACAAGTGGTTCATGGTCTTCTACCTCCTGGTGGAACGGCATGCTGTCAATCTGCGCATTATTCCCGTCTGCACGGCCAATCCGCAGAGGGAGTACTCCGAGCTATTTTCCGGCAGGCGTCTCCCCGCCGTGGCCATTTACGATGAACACAATGAAGGCAAGAAGACGACGGGTCCGTCCGCCGTCTATGCGGGCAACGATGAGTTGGAGGATCTGATGCGTCAGAAATTCAGCGGGCACATCAACGTCGACACTGAGGTTCAGTGGGTTAGCTGCAATCTTCTTCGAAATCTGAATAGCCTTCTTCTGACGGGGCAGACTCGCGCACTCCTCTCAGACCTCCAGGAGTTGGACAACTTTATTTCGAAAGTAAGTGGAAGGTATTATTTTAGGAGAAAACAGACTGGCTGGACGAAACCGAGAATCTTCTATGGAAAAAGGCCAGCACAAAGTACGAGCAAATTAAGGGAAACCAGCATATAGTAGGTGGTCCAACTAATGAAATATCAACCGAAATTCCAAAATGTATTTTTGTTTCGAAAAGATAAATTAAGTACCTTTGTTAAACTAGTCAGCACGCAACATAATTCTCTAATATTTCAGTTATCTCCTGATGCCGGCTTTCGAATGAACCTCCTTCCGGTTGCATGCAATAACGACACACTGTAAAAAAGGACTACTTAAGCAACATGAATTTTTCTCATTGATTTTGGATGCTCCCAAACGTCCATTTATATTTCATGGAAAACGTGAAAAAAAATTTTCATTCTTTTGTTAATTCAGTTGAAACGTACGTCTTCTTCTAAATCTGTAATAGAAGGAGAGACACAGTTCTGTGTTAAAAAAAACTTTTAATTGTGGGACTTAAATACCGTGAAATGGCCGTTCACAAATCGTCATGTCTCTGCATTTAAGAATGTGGTTCGTAAAGTTAACGATATTGATCAAATCCACTGTCAAATTTTATGAGCCCTATATTGTTCCCCCTTACTACCGTAGAGAAATGCGTGTTCTTTTGTACGCGGAAAATATACGACTTGTAGTTTGAAAACTCTGAATCGAAGTGTAGCGATAGAGGGGGGGCAAAATTATTTAGGAATTGGAAAAGTTTCCTCAAACCGTATTATACCCCTTCTTTAATCCTGAAATTGGAAGAAGACGTAATTTTCTACCGAATAAGAACAAAAATGAATATTTTATGCATGTTTTCCACGAAATAAGATTGAACTTTTAAGGATATAGGAAATCAATGAGAAAGATTCATGCTTTATAAGTAATTATTTTTACAGACTGTAGTTTTTGCATGCAGCCGGAAGGAAGTTCGTTCGAAAGCCGGCATCCTGAGGTAACTTAAATATTATAGAATTATGTTGCAGGCCGACAAGTTTTACAACCCTACTTAATTAATCTTTTCGAAGCGGAACCGCATTTCGGAATTTCGGTTGACATTTCATGAATTAGCTCACCTATTGTACATACGCAGTCAGAAAGTTTTATGGGACCCTATAGATCCTGTTTACGGTAGCGACAGGAGCAATGGCTGATCCATTTTCCCCTGACCGATAAGGAGGGCACAACAGCTCCTGTACGATAGTTCAGCTGGACTAGACAACGTTGACGCTCCACTTTGCGGGTCAGGTAACTGGAAATGTCGATTAATGTGCGGTGCTGCCACTAGGGAATCCTGAACTATGGTTTTTAGATCGCCATGAGGTCCACCTCCTGATTTTGTGGCACATAAAACCGCACTGACTGCTCCTAAAGTGTCTGTCCGTAAAGGCGTGAAAATGTACTAAAACCTTAGATTTTTTGAAAAAACCTTTCGTGTTTTTTGGTCACCTAGGAGAGGAGTTTTGTACTAATGTTGTTCGCCTACCCTGAAAATCCTACCTTTTTACGTTTACCACGAAAAGATCCTACATATACTTTCGTTGTTACGTTGTTACGTCTGGAGGTTATTCAACGCACTAAAACATCTGTATGTAGTACAGGATGGAGCAAGTAATCGAATTCTGCACACTAATGACAGACACAGCTTGCTAAACTGGACAATTACGCCGTTGTGGACCGTCTAACGTACACATGCCTCGTTCAGGTGACTAAACGAACGTAAACCATCGACTCGTTGTTTCGTCATTCCTGCCTAACACTTCCCATTGTGGCGTCCAAGAGTATGACAGGGCTTTAGACCACACCCTGCAGTGGCTGTGCTAACTCCTGAAATACTAACCGAAATTCTGAAATGTTTTTTTCGATTTGAAATGATCACCTAAGTTGGCTTGTAGTTCTGGTTATCCACCATACAATACTGACATAATCCCCAAAACATTTGCTATAAACACGAGACCAGCTCGGGAGAACTTTTTTTTTCAGGTTTACAGAAAAACAGACTGGAAAACGGAAAAAGTGCTTTTTCACCAAGTAGATCTCGTTTTTCTTCTAAACAGCTTTGTTCAGTTTCTCAATGTTAATTTTAAGCCAGCTTTCTTAAAGAGCATGAAAATAGCAATTATTTTAAGCATTATTGGGATAAATGTATCCACGTAAAGGCTCCGATTAAAACTGTGGAATTGTTCCTCTATCCAAGTTATTGCATCTCCAATTTATAAAACTTTATAACGATCCGGTTATTTTTTTAAAATCTTGTTGCAATAAATAACACTGGAAGAAACGTCAAAAATTATGAAGTAATGGGAAAATTTCATCACACGAGATTTGATTGTGTTTGAGTGACTTTGCTGTAGATTGTTTGGAAGTCCCAGCCTTATACTGAACGTAGCAACCCTCAGCCTTTGTGGCTGAATTAAATTCTACTACACGACAGGTAATGGAATAAATGTCTAACTCGACTGTGTCCAGTACGTACGTAGTCTTTAACGCATTGAGGGCCAAAGGCGCACTCTTACATTACAAAATGTCCAAGCTTTTTTACTTAAACTGTCCACTGTTCTCTCGCTATCTGCTTGCACTGATCAGTTTTGCAGACAAGTGCGTCATACATTTTCTGCGCATGGGAAGACTGTCCAGTTAGGGAGCTTTTTCATCTTAAATACAAGAACAGTCGTGGAGCTGACGCAGTTTTGTCCCGTCGTCCAATTTCTGGTCGCCAGAAACTTTGACCTCCAAACGAGGACAGCCATACTGCTGCTCTATAGGTATAATAATGTGATCAAACGTGTTGATTGGGACATTCGGAATCAATTTAACCGCGCTGCTAATAAGGTGCGGTAGATTTTTGCAAAAACCACGCCGACCCATCCTACTGAAATTGGCGAGTCAGGAGAAGTAGAAGTATAAGCTAAGATCTATAGGGGGCAACGGTATAGAGAAGGACCCCAGTTAACTGTCAGTAGACAGTGGGTCGTGTCATATGGGGTTTTATCTTGGCATACATTTGCAGGTCGTTGCAGAAATTACACTGCCAATAACAATTACTTGCCGCGACCTCACATCTCAGCTCAAAATCCGTTATTTTTTAAAATTTAGTTTTTGTTTGTTGTTTAATTACCATTCTCATTTCCGTTGTCGTGCAATAACGTAGGATGAGACTTTTGACATAAATCCAGGCAATTTTTGTGTTTTCTTCCATTTTGTCAGCTTACTGTCTAGAGTGCTGCCCCACCCATAAAGCTCCCTTTGTAATAAGTCACGCATGGCACGATCCACAGTCTACTGACAGTTAAGTGGGGTCCTTCTCTATACCGCTGCCCTATAAGAATTACATGGAGGTTCAGTCGACGGATCAAAATATACCGCGTTTTCCAAGGGATGGGCGCAGCGTGGGTGACTTGCTCGTGAATCCAAATACTCGATATCCTTTCCCTCACCCGCTTATGGAAAGGCAGAGTTAAAACGACTAGAAGTGAACAGAGCAGACCCACTGGGAATCCTGAAGGACCAGGAAATGCCTTGTTTGCGACAGGTGCATCCTGGACGACCCCCACCGGAATGCTTTGGCCTACTTCAGCGTCGCGCCAATTATCCGAGGAGCAAAAAGAGTTAAAGCACACATTTGGGCCAATCAACGCAGAGCGAACTATCGATTTGTGCTAAGGTCCGGTGTCGCACAATTCTTCCCCTCTTCGTTGGTCGCCCTTCAGGGAGGGTTGCTGTATTGCTAGTTCCAGTCGGCTAACCGAACTGCATGACCCGGAGATGCGCATAACCTTTTTGCAAATGAAATGACTCAACTTGTGGTCTGCAGAGCACTCGTTGCCTGTTCAAAATGCGGGCTCTGTTTTCGGCCTCGTCTTCATCATTCCGAACTTGAGAGAGTCAGCTGTTCAGGTACGCCGCATGATGGTAACAACAGACGTATTATCATCATGGTTCCCTACGGTCAGTTGCTGTGAGTCAAGATTTGACTGCATCCAATCGAGTCTGGAGCACTGAGCTCAGGAACCAGTCCAGTCGGGAAAGTACGCCATCTTTTTGCCGCAACATGGCCTCTGTTTTAGCTTTATAACCTTCTTCTTGCAGGTATCTTTAGCATAAGCTAGTCTCCACGTTTGTCAGTCAACAACGCCTGATGGGCCACTGGTACAGGCGTCCAATACCCTTCCGGGACCGTTTTCGCTGTACTATGTCTAAGAGTGAGCGATCTCATGAAATGTTGGCTGAAATTCTGAAATGCCTTTTCGATTACGAAGGGTTACTTAGGCGCGGTTGTAGTGCAGATTATCTTGTGGCATAATCCTATAATATTTCAGACTCGGCCGGATGTCAGCTTTTGAATGCACTGCTGGCCAATCTTCTGTAGAAACCGTACTCGGTAAAAAAGACTACTTAAGTGACATGCGTTTTTCCCATTGATTTTCGATGGTCTTGCAAATTCAAATATAACTTATGGAAACCATAAATTAAAATATGCTTTCTTTCAATTTTTTGATAAAGAATCACGTCTTTTTTATATTTATACTTGAAGAAGGAGTATAATTAGATTTTAAAAAAGTTTTCTAATCCTCGAATAATTTGGAGCCTGATCAGTCGTTACATTAGCGCTTAGTGGTTTCCATATACAAGGTGCACGCGTTCCGCGTAAAGAAAATCATATATTTTTTATCCCTTTAAAAAGATACCATACAGAGCTCAGAAAATTTTGCAATGGATGCGGAATATGTTGTACATTTCATGAGGAGCTGTGGTAAACGGCCAGGTACGATGCTATGGAAATAGACATTGCGCGGTCTTAAAGAATCTCCAAATTAGAAAACTTTTTTTAAAACCCAATTATACTCCTTCTTCGAGTAACAAATATAAAGATGACGTGATTCTGTATCAACTGCGTCAGCTGCATCAACTGTTCATGTTTTTTTAAAAATATAATTGAATTTATAAGACCATCAAAAATAAATTGAAAAATGCTTGCTACTTAAGCGCTCATTTTTGACGAGTACTAACTCCACAGAAGTTGGAAAGGCAGGGTATTCAAAAGGTGACATTCTGTCGAGTCCAAAATATTATTGGATCATGCCGCGAGATAATCAATATTACAACCGCCCTTAAGTACTCCCTTCTTATCGAAAACGCGTTTCAGAAATTTAGCCAAAATTTAATGAGATCGGTCGCTCAATGTCTCACTTCAGTGACTCCTTATTAAGGTGAACTCTATGGCGTTCTGACACAGATGGGATCTGAGACGCCTCCTTCTTGATTCTGTGAAAATGCCGTCCATTGTGCGCGGATCGGACGTGTTGCACGCGTAGGCCTCCTGTTTGTTCACTGAGCCCGAGCCCAGTCCTATCGACTCTGTCTTGTCAACAGGCCCAGCAGGGTTGGGAAGGAGTTTTTGCGGCATGCCATCAAGCGCAAATCACCGCCCTGCGTCCATCACATTGTGGGGCACATGGTGTAGACATCGTCGTTCGCGACGACCGAATTGTCGACTGACTATACGATGGGTGGGCTAACTCATTAAATGTCAACCGAAATTCCGAAATGCGTCTCCGTTTCGAAATGATCGTGCAGCATAGTTTCAGTTCCCTCAGGATGCCGGCTCTGGAGCGAACTCCTTTCAGGCTGCATGTAGAAACTAAATTTTGTAAAAAAATGACTACTTAAATAGCGTGCATTTGTCGCGAGGATTTTCGACGTCCTTAACAACTCAAATAAATTTTATGGAATAAATCCATAAAAATATTCATTCTTCTGTTTATTCGCAGAAAATCACGTCTTCTTCCAATTTGATACTCGATGAAAGGGTATAATTCGGTTTTTAAAAACGTTTCCAATTCCCGAATAATTTAGAACCCGATCTGCCGTTACACTTGCATTCAGAGTTTCCAAACTATGAGTCTTATATTTTCCGCGTTCGCAAAACCATACACTTCTCTACCGTATAAAGAGGAGATCGTATGGGGTTCATAAAAAGAAGCAGCGGATTTGAACCATACTATTAACTATACAAACCACAATGGTAAATGCATAGACGACGTTTTATGAACGAGCATCTCACGGTATAAAAACACCTAACAATTAGAAACTTTTTAACAACCGAATTATACGCTTCCTTCGAGTATAAAACTAGAAAAAGACATGACATTCTACTGAATGAGCAAAAGAATTAATATCTTTTGCATTTTCTGGATAAAATGCAATTGAATTTTTAAGAGCATCGAAAATTATAGAGAAAAATGCATGCTACCTAAGCAGTCATTTTTACAGTGTGCAGTTTCTGCATGCGGCCGAAAAGATTTTCGTTCGAACGCCGGCATTCTAAGGTTACTGAATTATTATGGAATTATGCTGCTCGATGATTGGTTTTACAACGCTTCTTAATTAAGCAGTTCGAAATGAAAACGCATTTCGTCATTTCTGTTGACATTTTATGAGTTAGCCCACCTACTGTACATGCTGTTTCTTCACCCCTATCATTGCCACTAGCCAGTGTTATGAGCCAACTGGAATTTAAAAAAAAAGTTAAGCAGTTTTTTACAATCAGACATCTCCTCGACTATCATTTAGACGCACACCACCTACCTGGAGTCTGACAGCGTCGCCTACGCGGACTGCGTCATCGCCACCAAGGTGCAGCAGGTCCGTGTGGCCGGTCACTTCTACGGCAACTTCTGCATTCCGCCCGATCTGCGCTGTTTGTGGGCCTACATGTCGCACATCTACGCTGTGCCAGCCTTCCAGATCAGTTGTCCATCCGACCGAGACATTCTGCTGCACTACTTCGACAAGGTGGCCTTCCCGCAGGCCGCGGACCGTACTGCCGTCCAGAGACGAATCCTGGCCCTAGAGGAGAGCCAGCGCTCTCTCAGTATTCCTCCAGCGCTCCCAAACTCTGCGGGGAGCGGCAGCAGCAGCAGTGCAGTCCTAGGGGCTGACCAAACAGCGATGACGACGAGGGTCTTTGATCAGGCCATGGTGCAGGACCTGTTGAAAAAGCAGGTCACATTCGGACCACTGCCTTAGAACGATCTAGAATCCTCCAGGCACAGATCATCATTATGCGGAAAAGTCTGTTGTGTTTGCCCACACGTGATATACTACACTGGAAGACAGACAGCCCATGAAGTTAGTTGCGAAGCCAAGAAACGTTTTCACGAATACTGTCGACTCTGTCTGTCGTCAGACGTGTAACCAATGTGTAAAACGGTTGACTTCTCAAACGCGCCGTTTGGATGCCGTTGTGCCGTTTAGATTGACTGCCGCTGATATTTCATGGACACATATGCATGCTAAAGCTGTCTCCCTTTTGAGAACTTCCTTTAAATACCCAACTGTATTTAATTGTATATCTTCCCTCGTAACTGTCGAGTGCCTTATTGAGGACCATCCTAATACTATCATCCTATCTAAAAAGGACGCTGAGCAGACGGTACTTTAATATTTCCTTGTGACAGCTGGCTGTTCGCTGCAAGAGAGAGGCCGACAGTAGCATAATCAGAATAGCATACCCGAGGAAGACAAGGGAGACTGGAATGGCCACTTCTGGCTTATTAGCCGCCGCCAGCCAGTCATACCCAACCCCGAAGTGTGGAACGCCCGAGGATCGAACTCGCGACCTGTTAGTTAGAATTCCACGCCTCTAACCACTGGGCCACGAGCTCGTTGCCCTGTCGGTTTCGATCGGAAATATACAATGGTAGGGAGTACTCGCCGATTGTTCTTTCGGAACTCACTCGATCCGATGCTATTCTGCCTATAACATGCGCCGCCGTACGGCTGCTGGTTGGGCTCAAGAGAGAGCCCGTAAGGCACAACGGGACGAGTAAGATCCGTAGGAACGACCGGTGAGCGTCCCCTGCCATAGTAACATAATCTATATCTGCCGAATTGGTAGCTACCGTTAAAAAACCAAATAAATCTTGATGTGAAATGCTTGCGCTGAACTACACGAAACATTGACCACTATCCTTCATCATGTTTTCTTCGGAGTAGGTTCCGCGATTTAGTGGATTTGACAGACCAACAGGCGAAAAATTCTTGTAAACTAAAAAGAAGCTCATTTTACAGATGGAAACTACCTTCCGACATAAAACTTTCAAAAGAAGGCATCAATTTCGGTCCGGCTGAATTTGCTACTTGGGCCAGTGTTTTGCGGACTAATATCCACAAGTTTCATAAGCCTGGTTCTGAATGTCGGGGCCAATCCTCCTAACTACTTAATGGTTAAATTGAATTGATTTCAAACTATCTACCGGCTATTCGGAAACTTCAAGAACCTGCAAAAGTACTTGCGTTTTTTCGCAAATATATGCATTACCGAATATTTAAAAACGAAAAAATGAAGTCCTTCCCCCACAAAATTACTGAAAAAACTTCATTCACAGTCAGTTTGACAAAGGCCACCTGGCTCTTACACATGCAATGCGAAAAAGGGAGAATGCGTGTTACGGTGTTGGTACTACCCAACTAGCAGGTATTTTCATCACTGAGCTTGTTGTTTTCACCATCCTCTTGTCCCCAACTTGGCCAGAGAGTGAGTCTTTTCCATCTGGATAATGGGACCGCTTATGGTCAAACAAGCCCATCCTCGCGTATTTCATGCAAATGTGATGGACAGGAAGAATTCGAGTACGGACGTTGTCTTGGTAACTGATCATCCTTTTCTACCTCTTCGGACTTCGCCTGACTGAGATGTTCTAACCATGGCAACGGCACCAAAACAAACTACACACGCTGGAGTGCACATTAAGATGTCGGTTTATCGTGAGGTAATCTCTGAGGACGTGTGTGTGCTTGTATATGTTAGATTGCATGCATTCTCCAAAACAGTTACCGCAATATGTCCGATTGACTAGTAACTGCTTTTGTTTAAGTAATTAACGCCGACATCAGTCTTCAGAAAAAGAAAGACATGGTTGCCTAGGGGAGTTTTGATGATGAGCGAGACTGCCTTCTCTTACCTTACATATCAGCTGTTCTGTGGGAGTTTTCGACAAAACGCGCTGCAAAAATTTACCAGTGCATTCTGTATTGTTTGTTGCGCTCACTGAGATCCTCTTTTCGAGAATCTGGCCGTGCTCACAAACGAGATGCGTTTCAAAACTTAGTTAAGGGTGCGTAGATTTCGTCAGACTAAGTAACATTCATTTTCCCATTAATTATCGATGCCTCTAAAAATTTAATTACATTTCATGGAAAACAAGCATAAAAATATTAATTCACTTGCTCATTCGTAGAAAATAACGTCTTCTTCCAAATTTAAATACGAAGACATGGTATAATTTGGTTTTGATAAAGTTACTTATTGTGTGACTTTTTTAATATCGTGAAATAGCCGTTCATAAAAGGTCATGTCTCTGCATTTACTAATGTGGCTTGTAAAGTTAACAATATGGCTCTACTCCACTGCCAAAATTAGGAACCCCATATAGTCTCCCTTTAATACCGTAGAGGAATGTATGGTTTTCTGTGCGCGGAAAATATACTGCTTGTAGTTTGGGAACCCTGAATGCAAGTATAACGGCAGGTCGAGTTCAAAATTAGTAGGGAATGGGAGAAGTTTTTGGAAACCAAATTATACCCTCCCTTCGAATATAAAATCTGAAGAAGACGCAATTTTCTTCCAAATGAGCAAATGAATGAATATTTCTATGCATTTGTTCCATAAAATGCAATTAAATCTGTAGGAGCATCGAGAGTCAATGAGAAAAATGCATGCTATAAAAGTAGTTATTTCTTGCAGTTTATCGTTTTTGCATGCAGGTAACTGAACTGCTATAGAATCACGCTGCACGACCATAAGTTTTACAACCCTACTTAATTAACCTTTTCAAAACGAACATGCATTTCGGAATTTCGGTTGACATTTCATACGTAAGTCCACCTATAGTATTTATACAGTAGTGTTTTCTTCTGCAGTCCTCATGGGACGGTATCACTTGGACGAAATGGGGTGAGCAGTGGTCACCTGAAGGAATCAGTGACGAGGTCGGAGTAATCATCGGGCCAATTA